CAGTAGAAACCAAATAAATATGCATAAAAACAAAATGGTCAATGACATCATTTGTTTGGAAGTTTATACAATTTGAACTTCATGCAGTTTTCCTGATATATATATATATATATATATGACCAGAAATAGAGATTATCATGATCACAAGCTGTATGGTAACTGAGAAGGATTAACTAGACAAAGGACATCAAGGCCCCAGACATCTAAGATGGCTATCATCAAATCTCACTGATTACCAATGGCTATTACAAAAACCTCCTATAACTTGTGTTAGATTATAGTCGACAGTGATCTGGCAATGTAAATTAAGGTTAGTAAAATGTTCCCAGTAGGCTGAATGCTATGCTATCAACATAGCAGGAAAAAAAAAAAAAAAGGAAAAAAAAAACCTATTGGCAAACGTTTTGTGGTCATGTCCACTTTTGTTTTGTTTTGTTTTGAGGACAGATCTTGGTAACTGGTTAGATATGGAAGAAAAAAAGAGTGCCAGCAGTACATCCAGCCCAGAAATATAGGGGTGGGGGGGTGTTAAGGGCATGGGGTGGTTAAATGTCCATAAATGACCATGAAAGCACCTTGATCATCGATTTGGGGTTACAAATATATTTTAGTGAGTAGACAAATTTGCAAATACAAAATCTACAAATAATGAGGATCGACTGTATTTGCCAACTGTAGAGAACTACTTCTATTTCCCTATGATGCTGCTTGCTATTCCACTGCATTTGCCTGTTTTCTTCTGTGTACCTATGAAGGGTCCTATTCTTCTTTCTAAACCCTGCTCAGGAAAGCACCGCCCCCACTCCCACTCCCCACCCTCCCACACACACACTAACTTTCCCTTCCTGTTCCTTTTGCCTCTTATACTCATCTCTATTTTGCACAAATAAGATTATTAACATTTTCTTTTACTGGCCTATGAACTTCCTTGAGGTCAGTGAACATATCCTATGTAGGAATACATCAGTTACTGTGCTTACTATGTGGCAGGCTATATGTTAAAAGGGGATTCACATACAACACCTTACTAGAATCCCATCATTCCCATTTCACAGTTGCAAAAACAGAGGCCCAGAGTAGTCACATCACTTGCCATATCACAAGCTGCAAAGTTGGTGTTCAACCTAGATCCCAAGCTTTTAATCATTATGTATTCTAAATAAACAGTATTGCTAGCTACCACATATTATTGACTGCTTACTATGTGCCAGGCATAGTGCTAAAGGCTTTATACAAATTATCTCATTGAATCTCCTTATTCATCTCAGCATCTCCAATATGTAGCTGTTTAATTGGACTGAATTTATTTGTTCCTGCTCCCAAACCTTCTTTCTAAAATCAACAGCATGAGAAATCTCTCTACATTTCCAGAAGTGGCCAGAATGACTTGGCCAGAATGGTTATACCACCATTCTCCACACCAAGTTCCTCACCTTTTCATTTCTGTTCTTCTGTAGTTTTGCTATTGATGTCTACGGTGACCACAAGGCAACTCCTCAGAGCAAAGGAGAAAAGTGCAAAGCACTATCCACATGAAAAGATCTTTCTCTGTAACAATCATTTCTAGTAGTGATTCATATCAGAACTTAAATCCTTATGGAGTAAAAGAATCATGGAAGAGCTAAGTGTTTTTGCTTGAGGGCCATGAGGTAAACCCTGTATGAGGCTAAAAGAGGATTTTTTGTTTCCTAATGTAGCTTTGGATTTCAATCTATATAAACTTTCACACTGAATTCAAAACAGGCAGGTTTTGGAGATGGGAAGAAAAAATAAGGCTTTGAGGAGGATCCAAGATGGCTGCGCCCAGGTGAACACCTAGCCGCAGCCTCACACAACAATTTCAATAAAATACAACTAAAATATAAAACGGACATTGCCCAGAACTACAGGAAGGTTGACTGACTGGAAATTCTACAGCGAAAAGCAAGGAGAAAACCAGAAGGAGAACGGAGGAGCTGGAAAAGCCCAAGGTACGGAGACACGCGGAGAGGACGGAGCCAGAGAGGAGGGGAAGGCCGAGTGCCTGGCGGGCGTTCCCAAGCGAAAAGGAGATAAAACTCTGACTGTGCTGGGCCCCCGACTGCTCTGAACCCCAGTTCTAGGCCAGACCCCGGGAACTCAGGCTCAGCCATAGGGAGCCGGGCTGTAAGGCGGAACCCGGGGAGAGGCGAAAGGAGGTCCCGGAGGCGCGCACATTGCGCGCAGAGAAGGGACAGTCGGCTGTGCCGCGGGATTGCCCTGATGGGAAGGAGACTGGGGCTCCAGGCTGCTGTGAACGCCACCTCCAACTCCACTTCCAACTGAACTGAACCCCAATACCGGGCTCATTGGGGGAGAGCATAGACTGTTTGGCAGCAGGCGAAAATCGAGGGCACCTTTCTCTCAGAGGCGCCGGCAGCGAGCACTGAAGGACCCGCATAGGGCGGGGCTGACAGAAGCCAAAGCTGCAGGCTCCACCCTGAAACCCCATCCCATCTGTAACTGCAAAATGCGACAACAAAATAGATCACAAACGAAAGAAATGGAGGACAAAAAGCGTCTGGATATAGAGTTCAAATCTACGCTTATAAGGTTTTTCAAGAATTTCCTAGAAAAGATGGATAAGGCCTATGAGGATATGAAAAGAGATCAACTAGAATTAATAAGGAGTCAACAAGAAATGATAAGGGATCAACAAGAAATAAAGAATACATTGTCTGAATTAAAAAATATTTTACAGAGTCCTAAAAACAGAAGGGAAGATCGCAGGAATCAAGTCAAAGATTTGGAACATAAAGAACCAGAAGACACTCCTCCACAGAAGCTAGAAGGCAAGAGAATCCAGAAAATTGAAGATAATGTAAGAAACCTCTGGGACAACTTCAAGCAAACCAACATCAGAATTATGGGGGTCCCAGAAGATGAGAGAGAGCAAGATATGGAAAACATACTGAAAGAAATAGTAACAGAAAACTTCCCCCACCTGGTGAAAGAATTAGACTTACAAGTCCAGGAAGCGCACAGAACTCCAAACAAAAGAAATCCAAAGAGGACCACACCGAGACACATCATACTTAAAATTCCAAGAGCAAAAGACAAAGAGAGAATATTAAAAGAAGCAAGAGCAAAGAAGGTAGTAACCTATAAAGGAGCACCTATACGATTGTCAGCTGACTTCTCAACAGAAACCATGCAGGCCAGAAGGGAATGGCAAGAAATATTCAAGGTGATGAATAGCAAGAACCTACAGCCAAAAATAATCTACCCAGCAAAGCTAACACTCAGAATCGAAGGCCAGATAAATAGCTTCACTAATAAAAAAAAGCTAAAGGAGTTCATCACCGCCAAACCAGAATTATATGAATTGCTGAAGGGGGTTCTTTCAGAAGAGAAAGTAAACAAAGATAAAAATTATGAACAACAAATATGTAACTATCAACAAGTGAATCTAAAAACCAAGGAAATTAAAAAAAATTGATGAACAATATTAACTGTTGAATATAATAGAATCAGAGGTATGGAAGGGGAGTGAACTGACGATTCTTGGGGAAAAGAGAAGAGGGGGGCGTGGGAAGAGACTGAACATAAACTGCACCTATGGATGAGGACAATGGGGAGAGGGGAAAGGGCAGAGGGTGGGGTGGGAACCTGGTGGAGGAGAGCGATGGTGGGGGGGAAAAAAGGAACATTTGTAATAATATGAACAATAAAAACTTATTTAAAAAAAAAAGAAAAAAAAAAGAAAAAATAAGGCTTTGAAAAAGTAAGGAATAGGCTGTGAAAAATTTGCAAGACAGAAGCTGCAGGGCTCACACAAGTTGCATGAATGAATGGGATCAAGGAAGGCTTTAGCTTTAGGGCGAAGTCAAAACCATTCATCTTTAAATGGCAAAAGTATAACAAAGATAAGCTTTAAGACTTCAATTCTCTTTTTCTGCTCTCCCCCAGAGAATTCCAATTACTAAAAGTAATTATTGTCAGCAGGGTAGGCAGTAAAATTGACCCAATGGACAGCGTCCTAATTGCCCTAAAAGTACCCATTTTTCTCGAGTTATGTGTGGTGGTTTTGCTATTGGTTACTGCAATTGTTAATGAAACAAGATAATCTCTAAGTGAATTCAAAGCCCAAGGGCTAAGGCAAAGGAAGTAAAGCAAATGCCTTCTGGGACCAGGCGAGAACTTCTTTTGAACTCTGGACTTTGATAGCCTGTACCTTCATAGTTGCAAATTGGGAACCGAAGAGAAGGTAGGAAGAATAAAATCCTTTCAACTTTTCAAGAAAAGACATAATCCTGCATTTTTATGTGTAACCTTCTGGTTTTAAATGTGGGCAATTGTTAAAAAATGAAAACACAGAGCATGCCAAACAAACTGTTGGCCTTTAGTGGGAAATACCAGTTTGCAGTCTCTGGTCTGAAGTATCCTAGGAGCCTAGCTGATATTTAGTGATGTCTTTCAAGTCATTCCGTGTGCTTTATTGGCCCCCAAATGACAGTCCTGGAAGCCATGTTCTGACAAACATCTCTCTCTGTCCTCTGACCTCCTCCTAATGGGCCCTGCCTTTGTGAGCAAGTACTTGACTCAGAGACCAGAGTTCCAGGCACCCGCTGGTCCATCCTGCACCTGGGTGATCCAAGACCTCTGGTGGCAGAGCACGCCAGCACCAGGTCTTGCTGTGTGCAGGGGAGCTACTCTTCCAGAGCGCTCCTCTCCTATCTTCTCCTCGGTTCCCAATTTGCATTCCTACCCTCTTCATTTCTCCTTTGAAGATGTTTCCCTTTTTGTCCTCTTCTCTCCTGTCCCAGTTCTGTCTATCTCATCCTTTTCTTTCTCACCTCTTCATTCTTTCCCCTTCTTTCTCTGCTGTTCCTTTCCTCTGTTCTCATTCTCTTCTGTGTATTCTATCCTCTTCACCCCTGTCCTCGCTCTATTACTTTCTTTCCTTTCCTCCCCGTCTCTTCAGCTCCTCTCCCTCTCCCAGAAACAGAGAAAGGGAAAGGAACTTCGGAGAGCTCGCTCACCAGGAATACACCAACACCGGATTCGAGTATTTTTTGTGATGGGAGCGGAGGGTCAAGGAGCCCTTGCGCTCCAGCACGTCGGTGGGTCCGATCTCAAACTGGTATCCCCCAGTGCTGCACGAGTCCAGGCGGGAGGTGCCAAAGTTCTCCATGGCCGCCTTCGCAGTGCAGACCTCCTAAGATTTCCCTCTGCGCTGCTTGGGCCCGGCCCCAGAGCCCAGGACAACCAAGATTCGGCGTCTGTCACCTCCTAAGCAACCTGGGGCGGGGTCAATGGAGGGAGGGCACTCTCAAACGTAATAGAGCAGGTTTCCTAGACAGTGTTGCTCTGAGTTAAAGGAAACTACATTTCCCAGAATGGAACGAATGGGTGCCCGGGCTTCATAGAAGAAGGCTCTGTCTGCATCTTGGGACTTGTAGTTTCACACGCCCAGCAGCCTAATCTCCGAGTGGCTGGGCGGAGTTTAAGGGGGACCCCAGGGTCAGTCAAGGGCTGATGGGAACTGACTCCAGAGAGGGGTCTGTTCCCGCTATCCTGGCATAAATTCTTCTTACCATTCATCATCTGCTGCCACCATACTTTCTGCTTACAAGTTTGACTAAAAGGGAGCAAGAGAACACCCCTCAAACCCTAAAATGTGTCATTTCTATATAGATTTTCTGAGAAAGAAGAGGAATGGAATCATTCAGCTAAAAAGTCTGAGATGAAATGGCCTGGCTGGTTCCAATTCCAGCTGCTTTCAATACTTTCCGAACATGAGTTTCTTCCTCTTGGGGGGTGGGAGGGGGGGAGTGGAGGAAAATACACGGAGGAAGGATTGGGACTGAAGAAAGGACAGCATGAACATGAATCTGAGGTCTCTTCTGATTCTTAAGTACAGTTTAGGGCTCCGGCACATTCAGCTTCCTAAGACTTAACAAGTTCTTATCATTTAAAACATGACATTTTGTGACAATACAAATTCATCACATTATTGTATTGTGAGTTATATGCAAGGAGATTTCAAAATAATTATCTATGGCATTGCCTTCAAGAAGTCAACAAATAGCTGTATTATATAGAAGGGAAGTGCTTATTCCATTTTTTCACTTACCAAGTAAAAAATGTTTAACATATCAGAATTCGCCTCCCCAACCTCAGTTGAACACTTTAGCATTAATGGACTAAATCCGGGCCATCCCTCTTACCTGCTTTCAGTACATGGCATCATCTCACAGTGTTGAATGAGTGAATGAATATAATGTTTGATTATTTTAGACTTACCTGGGCTTTCAGAAATTTCATAAAGGTCTTACTTTATAAAGACCACATATACACAAAAATTTAAATTTAAAAGTACACAAATTAAGAGATTTTGCATTACAATAGGTTCTCTAGTTTGTAAATAGTGAGGTGCTTTTCTGGGTGAGTTTTCATAAATTTGATTACACACAACTATTAAGGACTTTTCTGTGGCCTGTGGTTGCTCAGTGTGGATACCTGTGGTACCTAAGACCCTATTTACAGATAGCCACAGTTAAGCCATGTTATTTGAAACCAATCTAGCTAAGTGCTATAGATTACTGACCACTGTTTTAGTTCTTCTGAAAGTAATGGGAGGAAAATAGAAGTTAATTTTATTTTTTAAAATTTTTTAAAAATATATTTTATTGATTTTTTTACAGAGAGGAAGGGAGAGAGATAGAAAGCTAGAAACGTCGATGAGAAAGAAACATCGACCAGCTGCCTCCTGCACACCCCCTACAGGGGATGTGCCCACAACCAACATACATGCCCTTGCCCGGAATCGAACCTGGGACCCTTCAGTCCACAGACCGATGCTCTACCACTGAGCCAAACCGGTTTTGGCAGAAGTTAATTTTAAAAGGGTAAATAAGATCTGTGTTAAGCTCAGTGCTGTACAAAGCATAGCATATCGCTATTTCTCCAAATATTACCACCATTGCTATCATTTGCTTGTGTGTTTTAGTGACAACATGGAAAGAGTTTGAAAGTCTTCAGGCCCATCCTTATAAATTAAAAGATAAACTCAAACAAAACACTTTTCTCAGGCTCATCCAAGAATGAAGATCACAGAGCAACCTCTAACCCAGAAATCTGAGAAACAGGCAAATACAGAGAATCACAGCTAAGATCAGCTTATCTGGAGCAAAAAATGCTGGAGTCTTTAACTGCTTTGAAGTGATCATCTTGACAAATTCTTTGAGGCTGAGTGTGGACTAGCTTATGGTTGAGAAAGTCCTTGTGGCCCAATCTTAGGGAAACCCAAACACTTTTTTATGGAATTTACCTCAAGGAACACCATCAAGTTCTCACAGTGATAACCCCAAAAATATACACTCCCACTTTAGTCACAAGGTGGGTTAAGTAACCATTTTGCTATATACCAAATCCATTTTCTGTAATAAGGGCCAATGTTCCAGATGAAATGATGTCACCAGAATCTTCCATGACAAAGGCCATGACAAAGGGAAGGGCAATAAGACAACTCCAGCCACCTGATCTATCCTCCTTATTTCACCTAAGAGGAGACAAAGAGTCAAAAAGCATTTCTGAAGGTCGCATCCCAAACACTCATGCCCATAAAAGACTCAGAGTTCATTATCCTATATAATAAAAGACTAATATGCAAATTGTCCCCTCGACTGCAAGTTCGACTGGGAGTTCAACCAGGTGGCAGGGCCGTCGAATGGACCCCATCCTTGCACGAATTTGTGCACTGGGCCTCTAGTAAAATTATAAAACAATTCCTCTCCAACAGCACCCTACTATTACATCAACGGGGCTATAGTGTTATAATAACAGTGGATTATAACTAAGAAAGTAACAAGATACAGTTCTATTTGAGAAGGAATTCTTAGGACAATTTATGAAAACAGGAGGGAAAAAATACACCTGAGGAAATTGAATCCTGTGACACCTTCAGCTCTAGCAAACATAATCTTAACCAGATTGACATAAAACCTTTCACTAAAGGCCTCGTTAACCTCAGTTTCTATTCTCCCATATATCATGTCCAATTTTCAGCAATTTGCAACATGCTAAAAGGAAAGAAAAAGAGAAACAGGATCTGAGGTGCCAAATTTAGCATTAGAACCAGATTCAGTAGGGGTAATGAAAATATTCCAAAATTCAATGTGTGTACATCTACAAAGTATAAAATAATTATTAGTTTAAATAATTATTAGTTTGGCCTTCTTTCAATTCCTGAAACATGCTATGCAAGCTCTATTCTCCTTGAGGCCTTCACACATGCTGTTTCCATTACTGGCAAGGCTTCTCCCCTGCTTAGGTGGTTCCTCCTAACCTTTCAGGTCTCAGCTTAAATATCACCACCAGGAACAGACTTCCCTGAACACACTATCTGAAGATATACCCTTATTCCACACTGTTATTATCTGTCCTGATATCTTGCTTTTTCCTTTTGTGTAAGGAATTTACAATTTTTTTTTAGTATACTAATATGTTCATTTGAATATTTCTTCCATCAGCCTTCTTCCATAAGAAGGCAAGAATAATATCTGTTTTCTCTCAATTGTATACTCAGCAGCTAACACATGCCTTATATATATAATAACACTTTTTAAAATATGTGGAATAAATAAGTACAATTACTTGACTCTCACCCTCTCAGAGGTGGTATTTAGCCTTCTCCTCCTATAAATTAAATACACCATCTTTTACACTGTTTTTTTTGTTTGTTTGTTTGTTTGTTTGTTTTTGCACACTGGTGATGTGAAAGACTTACCATAGAAATTAAAGTGTCTAAAGTAGAAAGACTCTGCTTGGGGAGTTACTCTTTAGTATTCCTTCCTACAATTCAAACTATCGATCTCTATAAATACTGTAATGCAGGTGTGAGCATAATTTAACAATTAACAAAGAAAATTAATCATTTCCTATGGGTGATTTTGGCCTATTGTTAATTTTGATGAGTGGCAGAAATGGCTTAAAACATGGAAACAGGAAAAAAATGGGGAAATAAGGTATATTTTTATTATAAAAATTTTGAGTTGAAAAATTAAGTTAAAAGTGACATGGAAGAAGGGGAAATGTAGCCCTGCCTCACTCTTAGGAAGTTACTGAAGATGTCAAATAAACCTTTAAATATCTTCCAAATTTTTTCAGTTATGATTTTTTTAACCTAAGTCTATGGTAAAGGGTAAAAGGGGGCCAAATGTATGGTAATATAAGATGATTTGACTTTGGGCGGTGGTACACAATGCAATTTATAGAATATGTATTACAGAATTGTACACTTGAAACCTATATAATTTTAAAAAGTGTATGGTTTTCATTATTGTCATATATATATATATATATATATATATATATATATATGAATATGCAAATCATAGAATAACAAAACTCTTAAGAATATACTACTACTACTTGGATACTTCTTTCATTTAGCCATACATTAAAAGCCAGATTACTAAGAAAATCCCTGCAACAATTTGACATCTTCAGTATATGAGGAATAGTCATTGCATCACAGAGACATACCCATCTCCCTAGCTGTTTCCATATGCAGGTACTGGATTAGCACTTTGTTTTTCCAGGCATTTTCTCCTGTTCTCTGAAGATTACATCATGGGTCTCCTGGGCCTTTGCAGTAGGAAGGAAAAAGAGGGCAAAGGAAAAGAATGACATTTTGGAAATAATAACTGTTAAGAAAAATAATTTATTCAGCAATAAAAAAAATACCTATTATGTAACAAAAACCCTAGTATTTTCACTACAGTATCCCCATGGATTCTAATATCACCATAAAGTAGCCATTTAATGTCATCTTCATGATCAGCATCTTGGTAACATTTACCAACTTTGTTGTGTTAAAAAAAAAAAAAGTTCATTTTAACTAGGAGATTAATTGTAATTGCAGTACAATAATTTTCTTTAGAAATATTAGAAAAGAGTTTCATATTGAAAATTAGTATTTAGTTTAGTCTTAGTTACTACTTTTTTAATATGTTCTCATCATGCTTTCTTTATCACAGAAATCAGTAATAATTGAATAGTGCTTCATAATTTAAACATGCCTTCACAGGCATTTTCCTATTTTTATCTCAACATTTAGAATAATAAAGTGCTAGAGACATCAACTAAGTATAATAATAAAGATAATATTTGCATTCAAGGTGATTTTGTGACTTTTTAAAAATTAGTGCTTGATTATATATGGAGTTTTGTATTTGGAAAAATAAACACACACCAAAATTCTCATGAATTTAATGCCATCACTTGAAAATCATATATTAATTTCTATTCCTTTTCCTGAGATGGTTTTTAATAAAAACTTCGAATGTGACATTATTTCTGTTGACTTAATATTTCATTTTAAAAAACATTGATAGCCAGAACTGTTTTGGCTCAAGTTGATAGAGCATCAGCCTGCGGACTGAGGGGTCCCAGGTTCGGTTCTGGTCAAGGGCATGTACCTTGGTTGCAGGCACATCCCCTAGGAGGTGTGCAGGAGGCAGCTGGTCGATGTTTCTCTCTCATCGATGTTTGTGGCTTTCTATCCCTCTCTCTCTTCCTCTCTGTGAAAACTCAATAAAATATATTTTTAAAGAAAACATTGATAATATGGCTTCTTGATTAGTACTATATTTTCCTTCTCCTATTACTTTGTTAGTAAGTTTTTTTATTTTAAATTTTAGAAAAGTTATCAGTTTGAGGCTTGGTATACTATAAGTATATAGCTAATCACAACATCAATATAATAATGAAGCACTGAAAATTGAGCATTTAATCTTTTTAATGGGAAAATAAGCTTGGTGTTTTTGTAATAATAGTCAGTATACAGTAAGCATGTGTTTAGTATTAAAGTCTCTCTTACATAATACAGGGTAGGGCAAACATAGGTTTACTATGGCTCAGTAGTTGAGCTTTGACCTATGAACCAGGAGGTTATGGTTCAATTCCCAGTCAGGGCACATGCCCAGGTGCAGGCCAATCCCCAAAGTAGGGCATGCAGGAGGCAGCCAATCCATGATTCTCTTTCATCATTAATGTTTCTCTCTCTTCCTCTCTGAAATCAATAAAAATGTATTTTTTAAAAAGAAAATAATACAATAGTTAATCCTATATAATAAAAGGGTAATATAATATAAATCAACTGAATGGCAGAATGACCCGTCTCTATGATGCACACTGACCACCAGGGAGAAGACACACAGTGAAGGAGCTGTCCCCGGGTGGTCAGTGCACTCCCACAGGGGGAGCTCGGCTCAACCAGAAGCCAGGCTCATGGCTGGAGAGTGCAGCGGCAGTGGTGGGGAGCCTCTCCCATCTCCACAGCAGTGCTAAGGATGTCTGATTGATGGTTTAGACCTGCTACCTGAGCATGCCTAAGCCAGCAGTCGGCTATCCCGCAAGGGCTCCCAGACTGTGAGAGGGTGCAAGCCAGGCTGAGGGACACCCCCTTCCTCCAGTGCATCAATCTCATGCACCAGGCCTCTAGTAAATAATAATATAAGAATAAACTTTTTTGCATACTCATGACTGTAGACCAACTTTTGTCCCACCTGTGTTATTATGATATTCAATTCAAATAGATGGAGTAAATAAACAACACAATATAGTGATATAAGGAGAATAATATAGAGTGAAGATGCAAACAGATTATAAAATCACCTCTTCACAAAAGGATGAAGCGCTTGTTATTAAAACCACTTTGGTGTCTTCCTTCCCACTAGGGCTCTAAACACATACATTGAGTTTTATTGCAGAAAGTCTGGAACATCCAGAAGAATATAAAGAATGCATATTTATAGGTCTTACTTATCTCCAGTAATTAATTTCATCATACAGATATAGCCATTGTTAACATTTTAGTTTAATTTTATATTATGTACAATTCATTTTGTATATATGAGGGTTATCTTATATGCTGTTTTGATACTTGTTTTTGTAAATTCATATCTACCTTTCCCCTAACATCAAATAGTCTTCTAAAATATGAAAAGCATGATTTGGGGGAGATGTGGAAGGATTGCCAAAATGCATTCACAGCTATGTGAACAATAATTATAGGCATGGTCAACTTCAAATCAATCCACCTCAAAAAAAATTAGTATGTATGAGATAGTTGGTTCTTTGGCCAGTATGGCTCAGTTGGTTAGAGCATCGTCCCATACACCAAAGGGTGGTGGGTTTGATTCCCATCAGGTCACATATCCAGGTTGTGGGTTTGATCTCCAATCAGGGCACATGTGGGAAGCAACTGACTGATAGTTCTCCCTCACATTAATGTTTCTTTCTCTTTCTCTCTTTCCCCCTTCCTCTTTTTAAATCATATAAATAAATAAATAAATAAATAAATAAATAAATAAATAAAATGAGACAGTTGGCTAATTAACAAATAAATACATCCATGTCTTTTTTTTTTAAATATACTTTTTATTGATTTCTTATAGAGAGGAAGAGAGAGGGATAGAGAGTTAGGAACATCAATGAGAGAGAAACACCGATCAGCTGCCTCTTGCACACACCCTATAGGGGATGTGCCCGCAAACAAGGTACATGCCCTTGACCGGAATCGAACCCGGGACCTTACAGTCTGCAGGCTGACGCTCTATCCACTGAGCCAAACCGGTCTTGGCATCCATGTCTTTATTAACATATATTTTTAAACTTTTCTTAAGTTACAAAAATTATATTTTGTCCTTTGAATTACTTAGAAAGTAAAATTATCCTACAAATATACCTCCCCGTAAGAGCTAGGTAATACATTCTTCTAGCTAGAATGTGCTTTTATGACTACACAATATCTCATCAAATAGATTTATTATAACTTAATCAATCTCTACTGTTGGGTATTCAAGCTATTTGCAATATTTCATTATTATCAATAAATGTATTTTGTAGATTCCTGAACATAAATGTTTGAGTTCGTCAAGAAAATCTTGCTAAATTTATTGAATATCATATTCTTATATATTACTAAAAGTATTATGAATTTCAATTCTTATCTTCTTTCAACCTCAGTTTTCTTTTTCTGGGTTTGGATCAGTTCTAATATTCTCTAATTCTAAAAACCTTGAGTTATAAATACAGTAGATCCTTAATAAGTGAGTAAAACAATTTGTTAACTTTTAGAAGAAAATGTGGAACACAATTCATGCCTTTCAAATAAGCATAAAGAGGGTGTGTGCTCATATATGTGTATGCGGGGAGGAATACACAGAACCATAAGAAATTATCTTTCTGGAATATCAATTTTACTTCAGCATTTAGGGACAAAGTTTGGGTTTTTCCCCTGTCAAATATATTAGAGTGAGATACAAAATGATCAATTTTTAAGATAAAAAATAAAGTTTTTTGGGGGGGAAAAAGTGTATTTCTCAGTGTGCTGCTTTGAGCTTTGTCCCCCAGAAGTCAGGATTTATTATTTGAATTACTTTTTTAAGGAAAAGATGCAAGGCTTTAAGTGAAGAGAAAGAAGATATCAGTTAACTCAAACATTTGAGAATTGGTATCATATTCTTAGAGTAACTAAGATATTTGAAGTTGTCCTTGGGCTTTGGAATCTAAACACACATTCACTCACTGCACTGCCTCCTCTGAGAAGTGTCAAGAGGTTAAGATTCTTTGATTTATAAACTAAAACCTGTCCCATCTTGCTTTTTTACAATTTTGTGAATATTCCAGCTTGTTTCTATAATATTAAAAACATAAGGCCAATGTCTATACTATACAGCAGTTCTATCCTTTATAAATATACCTACAGGGAGTGTTAACCATTGGATATATTTAATTTATATTTCTCATTCAATGCTTTACAATTTTGCATCCAAAATTATTATTTGGCAATCAACCCTATTTCAAATGCTCCACATATCTTTACACTAAACAGACAATAAGCTTGCTTTTCTTAAAAATAAAGTTTTAAAAAATACAGATTTCAAGGATTAAATAAAAATAACTGAACTGAAGGCAGTCAAGTTTCTTTCTATTATAGAAGGATGAAGGAAAATCTGATGTGTACTGTTTGAATTGTGGACTTCAAGTTCCAAATTAACTAGAAATCCTCTTTTTCCTACAAAAATTATTTGTAGCATGATAGTTACAAAAGCAAACTCTATTAGGGCCTTGATTTCCTTACACCAAAACTAAGGTAATGTTCAGAGGACTCCAAACCTTGCGGGAAATGAAGTACAGTTGTCTCTTGGTACAGGCGGGAGACTGATTCCATGATCCCCACGGATACCAAAATCCACAGATGCTCAAATGTCTTGTAAAAGTGGAGTCATATTTGAAATATAATGCCCATCTCTCATATACTTTAAGTCATCTCTACGTTACTTCGATTACCCGATATAATGTAAATGCTACATAAACGGTTGTTACACTGTATTGTCCAGGGAGTAATGACAAGAAAAAAAACAAGATGTTCAATATAGAACCAGCCATCCTGGGCTTAAAAAAAAAAAAACTTCAGTACTTAAATCCTACTTCTTATATCCAGGTGCCAAAAACTTTTCCTTTTCTTTTCTATGCCTTCCTTTAATGCATTCGTTAATTTTTTTTTTTTTAATTAATGATTGAGAATGGCTGCTCCAGAGGCCCAAATTGGCACGCAGGAAAAGGAAGTCCCCAACAAGGTCCAATTGGGACACTCATTCTGCCAGGAGCATCTCTGGAGGCCTCCTCCTTACAGCTGGAAAAATAAAGCAAACAAGCTCCCACAGGTACTACCTGCAAGGAAACTTTCCCCCGGGGACTCCCGGGGCCTGGCAACTCCTTACGAATCGAAGTTGTGGGGGACTGAGGGAGATAGGGGGGGAATGACTTGAGGACCACTTACTCCTTAGCCCCGCGACTGGATAGAATAATAAAAAAAAAAAAAAAGTGTAAAACAGAAACCTGCAATTGACTGCAGCATCTTCTGGGATTCTGACAAGATTAGGGACCAGGACAGGAAGTGAGGGCCCTACCCATCAGGCCGCTCCAGTCCCAGCGGGCGCCACGCCCCGGCCACCGGCGGGTGACCCGGAAGTTCTCGGCGGCGGCGGCGGCAGGGGCGGAGGCGGGAGCTCCGCCAAACGGGCGCGCACGCTCGCTCCCCGCGGAACCCCGCCGCTCGCGCTGAGCTGTCCTGTCCCGGAGGCGCTCCCGAGCTGCCCGGCCGCCAACATGGCCGAGACGAGCGAGGAGGTGGCGGTGCTGGTGCAGCGGGTGGTGAAGGACATCACCAACGCCTTCCGGAGGAACCCGCACATGTGAGTCGCGCGCCGGCGTGGCCGCGGTGCCCGGGGGTCGTCGTCGGGGGCGGAGGGGGCGGGGCTGGGGCCGGAGCCGACCTCAGGCGGCAGCGGCGGCGGCGGGGCCCGGCGCGCCGCTCGGTGGAGGGGACGGAGCCAGGTCGCGGCCGGATCGCTGCCGGCCTCCGCGGGGCCCCCTCCCCGCCGCCGGCACCGCGATCGGGAGAGTCCCTGGAAGTGACCTCGGAAAGTCAAAGAGAGCGTGTTCCGCTCTTCTGCTCCCGCCGTCCCCCCCTGTCCTTTCCCGGGAGTTCAGGAAACTGGGAAGACTTCCTCCGGGCGTCCACATCCTCCATCAGTTAGGAAGGGTGCGCGGACACACACACACTCACACACGCGATGTGAGTCTAGGTGCTTCGTAAACACATCTCTGCAGGTTCATCCCGGTCGCTGTTGAGAGGGGGATTGCCGATCATCGGATCCCCAATGGGCCCGGACCCCTCTCCGTTTACCAGTCAAAGGAAGTTTGAGGCCGCTTTTGACTGTTCGGCCTCCCTTGTCCCAAGGTTGTGTGCAGGGACTCGGACCAAACATTTTGTTTTGAAGGTGAACAGAGCATTTTCAAGAGTTTAGCTTCTGTAGGCGCATAGGATGAGTCTAAAGTAGATGAAAGCTCGACACTTTTTAGCCATAGCTGGACATAGTAACAGGGAGCAAGCACATGAGCCAATTTATTTGTTTTTTAATCCAGACCCTGGTGCCCTAGTTAAGGAGAACACCACACTCTTATCTGCCCTGCTTTCTTTCCGTTTTGCTTGGGAATGCAGTGCTCTGGGAAGATACCAGGAGAAACGATGGCACTTCTTGGATTTAGCACGTGAAAAGGAAGCTGTTGAGAGAGAGAAAGAGCTACATTTTACAAAAAAAAGGGAGAAGCAGGAGTGGAGCTCTTTCCCCATCTCTCATCCACAAAAGAAACATAGAATCCAGTTTTGTGTTACTTTCACTTTATCTCTTATGTTTTATATTTTATTCTTTAAACTAGAACCACACCAGTTACTCTTTACAAGTGGTCTAAACCCTTAAGGTTTTGTTTTGGTTTTTTTTGCCTAAAAGAGGTGCCAAACCTCACACCAACATGAAGTGTTCTCTTCCTTCAAGATGATGCTTATGAAAGAATTGAGAAGCCCTCAGATGCCTTGCTCTCTTGTGGCACACTGTTGCAGACCTGCAACTGTGCCTCATTAAAAACAAAACACAGCCGGCCTCAAAACACACCGGCCATCCCTGACAGCGCCCACTTCCTTTCCCCTTGTGACTGCCGGCACTTCCAGAATGAGTGTTTGGAATGATTTCTTGGCAGTAACCATAGTGGGTACTGGGCCTTGTAAAGAATGCTTTGATGCCTTGTATATCAGACTTTCTGTCCCTTTTTCAGAAATGGAGCTTTAGTGCAAATGAGAGACATCATCCAAAAAAAAACAACAAAAAAAACAAAAACGAAGCCATACAAATGAAGGGCCTGTTTCCTCATCATTGGTGTTATTTTTCTTGGAGAAATTATAGCAAAGGTTAGAAAGAAGTCTAATCTAATAAGTACAGTAATCATCTTAGTTTCTTGCCTTTGAGGTAGATTAGAAAAGATCAGTATTTTATACTTGAAGAAACAGATTGAGTGCTCATTGGCTTGGCAGGTTGACACAGAGCTGTTTGGAACACATCCCAATTCTGGATCACATTTATTGAAACTTATAAAGGATTTTAATATCTTTAATCATATTCTTTTGGTGAAATCTCGTGAATGTACTCAAGTCAATGTATAATTTATGCTTAAGCATTTGGGTCATTCAGGATTTAAAAGTATGAAATAAGATGGGCATTTGAAATAATGATATATAATATAGGGCTGAAAAATTAAATAGCTTAACTCATTGTTCAATAATAGTCTTCAGCTATATTTTAGTACATATTTCCTACAATAATATTATTTCCAGTGATATTATTATACATTCTTTCAAATGTCTTATAATTTGGACTTTTCAAAATTGTCCATACTTCTTTCCCAGCTTAGTCTCCCTCCCCCCCCCCCCAAAAAAAATGATATATTTTTAGTTTAAGGGGAAAGAGGGAGCATTGTTTACCTTAAAAGTTAGTACCTAATTACAGTTTTCAGTATTAAAAAAGAAAGGTTTTCATTCTTTACTTTTTGTTTTTCTTTTTCTCCAAACAAGATAGATTGCAATTTTATTAGTCAACATCAATTCCATTGACTTTGTAGAGATCTCTAGCCAGGAAGAGTCAAAGCTACAGTGAAAACTACAGTAGTTACTAAGTGGATTTTGTGTTTTTTATTTGTTTATTTGTTTGTTTTAAATATATTTTATTGATTTTTCACAGAGAGGAAGGGAGAGGGATAGAGAGTTAGAAACATTGATGAGAGAGACATCGACCAGCTGCCTCTTGCACACCCCCTACCGGGGATGTGCCCGCAACCAAGGTACATGCCCTTGACCGGAATCGAACCTGGGACCTTTCAGTCCACAGGCTGACACTCTATCCACTGAGCCAAACCGGTCTCAGCATAAGTGTATTTTGTTAGTGGTAGGTGTAAATAGGTTATCTTCTTTGAGCCTCAGTTTCTTCTTGATCTAGTGAGGCTGATGAGAACACAGAAAAATTACCTTACACAATATTTGGCACTTAGTTGCCACTGAGTAAATATTAGGCTTAACCTGAATTTCTGTGTTCCTTTAAAAAATTTATGAATGGTGAATATGAAACATTTCATGAACTGAAAAATACCATAGGAATGTTGTTTTTGTGGTAGACTCTTAGAGACTACTAATGGAAAAACAACTGAAGGCTTGACCCAGGGACTGATATTAAATTAATGTATAGAGCCTATGCAAAAGTAGAAGACAACTATTTACAATGGAATTAGGGTCATGTCAAAGATCTCCAGCGGGTTATTTTTTATTACTCTTAAATATTTATTGAACTCCCACTGTTTATGAGGTGCTATAGGTACCATCTTCACAGAGTAGAATATGAAGGAGTATAAAACAATTATACTCAAGACACAAAAATATCTATGATGATAGAAATGTTCTATATCCATTATTATAGCTATGAGCCACATAGCACTATTGAGTGCTTAAAATGTGGTTAACGCAAATGAGGAAATGAGTTAAATTTTATTGAATCTTAATTGATTTATGCATAATGGTCACATATTCCTAGTGACTACTGTATTATACAGTACGATTCTAGATGAGGACCGAAGACCTACCTGCAAGAACAATAAATAAACCCTGCAAAGTGGTTTATGATAAAGGCTGGATTAAGCAGTCTGGTAAGCAAGTGCTATGTGAATCTTAGAAGCGAGGCTGGGTATGGAATGTCTTGGCCAAGGCTCTTAGGGTAGATGGGTTTTGAGCTGAACTTTGAAAACTAGGTAAGATTTATCTCAGAGAGGGAGCCAAAGACCTCCACAGGGAACAGTCAACTACCCCAAATAGCAAATATAATTGAAAAGATACAGTGGGACCAGATTATGGAAGTCCTAACTGTGGTTTAATTTCTTTCATACCATACATGCATTTAGCAAAAGAGCACTTCTTTTTGCAATGCTAATCCTGGGTCTGCAGGACTAGGAGCTGGGTGTAGATTGATGAACACACCACACGGTCCCTGCCCTAATAGAACTTGAAACAAAGTAATGAAGAGATTATGAAAAGAGCCCCAAAGGATAAGAAGCATGGATAGAAGCCTAAATTACCGTATTTTTCGGACCATAAGACGCTCCGGACCATAAGACGCACCAGTTTTTAGAGAAGGGAAATGAAGAAAAAAAGATTCTGAAACAGATAGTGTCCTAAAATATTTTATGTGCATTAAAACCCAACATCACAGCCATAAACACATGTAATCAACCCTGTAAAGTAAACAGCAGCATTTAGAACCATTTTAGAGCCGGGCAAGCACACAGAGACCACACAGAGCCAGGCAAGTAAAAAAACTTTTTTTTTAAAGTATATGTGTAGGCTATATTTGGACCATAAGACGCAGGGACTTTTTCCCCCCACTTCTGGGGGGAAAAAGTGTGTCTTATGGTCCGAAAAATACGGTAGGTTAAATGATCAAAATAGTTCTATCTGAGAAAATAATTAAATTGAGCTGGGAGGGATGGATAAGAGTTGGTTCAGGGAAAATACACCCTTCGTAGGTAGTGGGTAGGGCCCAATGAAGGGAACAGCCTTCGAAGGTAAGCTAAAATGTGAGCATTTGGTATATCTTTGAAAATATTAGAACTTTATAATTATTATTATTATTATTAGAGTTATTAACAACTTTAAAAATCCTATTACCTTGGTAATGCAGGTATCCTTGTTAAATACCAGGCAAACCTATAAATATAAAGGAATGAAATTTGCTGGCAGTGAAAAACTCAGAATTTGTGAGACTATTTCATAAGAAAATAACTGGAGCTGTGTTTTATATTTATAGCACATTCAATGCAACCATTAAATATATATATATATATATATATATATATTAATTAATAGGAAAATGATATATGTGAATTAAATTTCTAAAAAGGATTATAGAGGAGTATGTCCAATATAATCCTGTTACACCCAGACTTCATGATCCCCAAGGACCACCAGGGAGCCGAGTCCGATGCAATAAACAAAAGAGCCTCTTATCCATGCTAGCATGGGCTCTATCCCATTCACACCGGCAGCATGGCGGAAGAGAGAGCAAATTTCGCCCAGCTCAGGGATTTTACTCTGGTCGGTGGTGATGTCACTGCTTCGGCTAACCCTGATTGGTTGGATGAGGGCTAGGGTTCAGTTACAAAATGGAGATAACCGCCCTGCCCCACAGTGGAGTCAGGAGTTTGTCCTTGCCCCGCCCTGCCCTCTCAATCCCACTTTATAGAATATTTAGAAAAAAAGATCACATGCCCAAATTAACAGTGGTAAAGGGATAGCAGATAACTTTTAGTTTGTTTTTTT